AGTTTGGATGCACAAGATGGCCACTGCTTGGTACCAAGGTACCAGCTTCTCCCGCTAGCAGGGTGAGACCTTTGGGGTCCAAATTGAAGTTACTTAGTTTCTCTTAGAGAAAGCATTGAAAGATTACTGTTCAAACCTATCAGGAAACTCCTTTCTCACCTTCCTACTCCATGGCCGATTCCCAGTTTCTGACACTCCTTTAGCTGCTGAGAGCTGAGGCTGGGAGAGCTGGAGGCATCCACACATGCACAGCTAGCGAGAGAAAGGAGATTGTCGAGGACAGTCTGTGCCTGTCCCTTCCATCTTCTGTGACACTCCCAAAGGCCAGGTTGGAATGATGACTTGAATGTCTTGGTAGAGAAGTCACAAAGCTATGCCTCCTAGAAATCTGATTCACTCCTTTCCAACTAGGTGAAAAGGTCTTCCTTCAGCTAGGTCTTCCAGTAAGAAAATGTGTGAGCCCTACCTTTAGCAAGAATGTTAATAAAATCATCATGTTTCCAAATCCTTTATCCACAGAAAGGAGTTTAAATCCCAATGCCATTCCTCTCTTCGCATCCTCAGGAAAACTAGCAGGGTAATTTAGGCCTCGTTATTAAAACAGCAGGCAGTTGACTTCTTTCTGTTCATTTAAGAAAAAAAAAGTGAGTCAGTTTATAAACCAGCATCTAGAGTTTTCACAGGTCAACAAGATCTTTGGTTACAATGAGGGACAGTTTGGGAAGCTTGTGACCCCAGAAGTGAAATGCTCTTACAGAGATACTGTGGAGAGGTCCCTGGTATGGGCCCTTAGGCTTCCCTGTCTCTTTTGAGGCTCATGACCAGCCCAGGAGCACATTGGGATCATTTCAGGTGAGTCAACAGAGGCTGTGAGGTGACAGTGACTTTGCTAAGGTCACATGTCTGCATTTGGAGAAGTTGAGATTCAAGTCCAAGCCTCTCCAGCCTTCTAGAGAAGAATGGTCCCTCAGGCCTCATGAAGCCACAACTGAAAATTGGTGTGACTTCCCCAGGGTCACACAGCTCTTTAGTAAAATCTCCTCCACTGAGCCTGGGGATTTGCCAGGACTGAGAATAACTGCCGTTTTCACAGATTCACTTTTGACCATGGGTATGCACAAAGCCACGGAGCCCTATCGCTGTTGCTGTCCCCGAGTGTGTCTCATCATTATTCCAGAGGCCATGGATTTACTAACTGCCTCAGAGTCAGGCTGAAGCCAGCCACACTCCTAGGTCCTTCGCCAATTACAGGATTATCCCTTTAAGAAGCCAGTGCAAATAGGTCCTTAAAAATGAATCTGTAAAGAAAAAAAAGTGGCAGTTGTCTTCAGTTCTGGTGGATTCTTAGGCTTAGCAGGGAACTTCTGCAAATGAGTTGTGTGGCCCTGGGCAAGTCACACCAATTTTCAGCTGTCAGCCTCCTCATTTGTACAATTAAGGCAATAACATCCCCAGGCTGGGTCCCAGGGAGGATTAAATGAAATTGCAGACATAGAAGTGTACTGTGGATGAACTGACCAATATCATTTAATAAGTGGTAACTTAACAGCAATGTATCTTTGGAAAATGCCCCCTGTATTTGATGGTGAAATAACCCTGCTTTTAATTCCCTCTCCCCAAATTCTGAGTTGTTGTTGCAAATTTATTTAGACCACTTAGACTCTTGAGGGGCAGATGGTTTCCTTGAAATTCCATAGTAGGTGGTGGGCTTGGGGTTGATACTGGACTGAGGGGTCTATGTTTAAACAGCGTGCTCTCTCACCCTCCAGAAAATGAGAAGGAATAGACATGTCATGTGGCTGGATGTGATGGCTTCCCTTTGGCTCTCTTTTTGCAAGAACTGGAGGTGTTTGTGTGAGCTTCCCACTCTCTCAAGGATGCTGTATTTGGAAAGCTTCATCGATTTATTTTACTGGATAGTAGCAATTTTGCCTGTTCCTCGTAACCCTCAAAAACAAGTCTTGTGAGATCACCGAAGCAACTGGCAGTGAGCTACTTTTAAAGCCCTGTTGTACCTGACTTTCCCATAGTGGCCAGAAGAGGATGCAGCCCTCCCAATCAAGGGGTTGTCCGAGGACAGATCTGCTGTTCTGGCATTCCACTGGCTCCACATCACAATTTAGTTTCCACTTTATCTGCTCTCTTTCGGTGATATTTGAGATGGAATTTCTCATCAGAAATAATCATTCAGATATCTAAGTCGTAAAGATGGCTTCAAAGCCCATAGGATAAATGGAGTCAGTTCTGTGGCCAAAGTCCATGTAGGGGAGAACTTTTACACTAGAAAACCCTCAACTCATGCAGTTGAATCAAATTCCCCTTCACAAAACCATCTGCAACTTACTGAGAGGATCCCGGGCAGGAGGGAAGAAAGCAGGCCATTTCTTTGATGCTGTATCTTGTTTGAAAGGATGCAGATTCCTCCATTGTCAGCTATGGACCAAATGCTTTGCAAAAAGCAAAAAAAGGAAAAAAAAGCAAATGTGTTCTGCGTTGCTGTGGGGAGGACTGAAGAGAGGGCAGACAGGCAGCAATAGGGAGTGACATACAGGCTTTCGATTCTGCTGGGGCTCAAGATGGGCTGCCATATATTTCCTGCATCAGGAGCTAGCTGTGGAGAATTCAAAACTAAACATCACAACCCTGCTTTTAAGGAATTCCCAGTTCCTGAGGGAGACAAGTCACAGGTGGATCATTTCAGTGCGCCATCTTAGAGGATTCAGAGCATGTTTTCTGCTAGCTAACAAGGATCCGGACACGTGATTCAGTCACCTCCCAAACTCAGGCCCTAATACTTCATGATGATGATGATGTGGCGAGCACTGTGGAAATCTCAGAAGATGCATGAAGGGTGTGGCAAGAGGGAAGGAGATGCCATGTAGAAGAAACAGCATCAGGATCAAACACAGTGGCCTGGATCATCCTGTATCTGGTACACATCCCTAGCTAGCTGTGGGTGCCTTCTTAGAATACCATAGCTCTCAGACAAAAGTCTTCTCCTTTGTTCTATGGTCTCCTCTTGGGATTGATTGCAGCCTTTGGACCCCAATTGGGGTGCAGATGGCTTGGTGGGTGTGACAGGATGGTCTAGTCTCAGCTCCTGGAGGCTGGGATCAGGTATATTTTCTTTTGTGGGTTTGGATCTACTCACCAGAACATTCTCCCATTGTCAGTTTCCTGGGGTTGAACCTCACAAACATGATATGCAACTTGCGCTCATGATGTGACTTGCGATAATGCCTGTCAAGGGCAGCTGGTTAACATAGCAGCTCTGAGCTACCCCTGCATTACATGGTTATCTAGAGCGTTTTAGGGATCTGTTACAAGCAGACCTTCCTCACCAGGACACCTCAGATAGAACCCATTGTATGCAGGAATACATTGTAACACTTGACCCTCATCCCAGCTCTGTAAAACTTGTATTAATGTCCCTGCTATGTTGATGAGGTGCCTGCAGCTTAGAAACCCTTAAGACCTGCTGGTGACCTTACCAAGCAAACCAAGATCCTTGCTGTCACTACACCAAGCAGAACACATCAGTCCTTGGCATTCAGACCTCAGGTTCATATGAGAAATATCTAAAGGGGCTTTGTCACCCTTCTGATAGACCAGCACAGCCTTATCATCACATACCTCTCTCTTTTACTCCTGACTTTTTCACTGTTGCATCCATGTGTAGCATGTAGAAACACCAAACAAACGACTGCCTCATCAGTAAAGGCAGCCACGTGGCCGGTCCCTAAGGCTGGCTTTCTCCGGGTATCTCTTTGATGGATGCCAGTGTCCCACTAGGGACTCATGAACCTGATGGCTGCACACTGAAGTTCCACAAGTACAGGTGACATCAGGCATTTCAGTGATTTCCATTTCTATTTGGGAAAAGGATGCCATATAATGATGTTCTATATGACAAACACTTGGGACTTGTCAGCTCATTGTACCCATAGTTTACATCCTTTGCCGATTCCACTCACCCTTCTGAATTTAAGGTAGTCGAGAGTGGTTACACAGCCTCTCACAGGTATCCCTGCAGTATGGAATTCCGGCTGTCATCAGGGACAATGCATTATTAGTCTCTGGGAGCTTACTTCGTCTTGAATCAGTGGCTCTGACTGTCGATTGCCTCTATTATGTATCAAGCAATTTCCCCGTGAACCCACTCAGTATTTATTCTCCTTGATTGCTCTGTTCTTCTGTGCTGCCATTTTGATTGTGACTTTTGCTTCTCCTCAATGCTTTATCACCTCACAATTATTTTCCCACTGAAAAGCAGTGACAGGGTGATCACCGAGACTTGAGTCAGTTTTGAATGTTTGAGAACCCTTCCGCCCTCCTCCGTCACCTCACATAGCCTTTCGTTTGGAAATAAAACACATACATTCCTAATAATCATCATATGTAAAGGGGGAAGATGCAGCTCTCTAAAATGCCTGCAGTAATGCACATACAAGGGGAAAGGGGAGAGCACAGGCATCAGCTCACCCACACCATCAGCCCCCTCTCCATCCCTTTCAGACTCTCCTCCCCATCATCCCACAGTGACACACACACTCCAAGTGTTCCCCATTCATTTCTACCAGCAAATGTCAGGCATCTCCAAGGTCAAGTGACTTCGTCATTGTAATACTTGGATCAGTTGTGCTAATGCTTTTGTTTCTGCCTTTTCCATGCATTACTGATGGTTTTTAATACTATGCCTCCCTCTATTTTCCCCACCATACATAGTGAACTGAGAAGCCAGTAATGGCCAAGTTGTACACGGATGTTTATTCCGCCTAGTCTTCTGTGGCTCCTTGAAACTGGATACAGCCTTCTTGCTCACCTGCTATTTTCTTAGGGCGGGTAGGATCTTTAATCCAGCAAATGTAAAATTTCCATTATCCTCAGACTGTTCGCTAATCTATTTGTTGAAACATGATTTATTGGAACGAATTCATCTTTTCAAAACAAATGGTCTAGCAGGACTGACTGTAACTGATTTAATCTTCTTGTTTATTCAGACTGGACCAAAAGGATTGAGTACCAGCCCGGCTCGGGGAGCATGCCCTTGTTTCCCAGCATCCACCTGGAGACGTGCGATGGCGCTGTGTCCTCCCTCCAGGTCACCGCCGAGCTGCAGACTAATTACATCGGCAAGGGCTGTGACCGTGAGACCTACTCCGAGAAATCCCTTCAGAAATTATGTGGTAGGCTTTTCTTTTGAGAATTTGTTCAATTAATAGCTTTCAAGTGATACAAGCAAATGAAGTGTATCTAATTATATGGAGGGGCAGGGGAGCTACCAGCCTTCCCCACCTGCACCAGCCCTCCTAGGTGCATATTTGCTTAGGACAGAAGGGTCAGAAAACTCAGCTTTTGGTTTCAAACTCAACTGATTCAGAGTCTGTGGCTTTAGGCAAGCGCCATGACGGAGTTTCCATTCTTCACTGGTAAGACGGGGATTAAATGGTAAAATTCAGCTAAAAGGTCTGGCACAGAGCCAAGTGACACTCACGGTCCCCCTGCCATGCCAGGCTCCGCAGAGCTGCTTGCCTATGATCATTATAAAGAGTGGCGCCAGGTACCTGCAAAAACATTTGGCTCACCTCCACCAGGCGACTGTATAATTCCAAGGCTGAGTGCAAACAAAATGATTAAGGATTTTAATATAGGAACAGCGAAACACTAAACCAAGTGTCTGAGGTTAAATAGCTGCTCAGGGTACGACGAGCCTGTGGGGCTGAACCCAGCCGTCCACAGTAGAGCAGCCTCAGATATGATGGAGGTGGGTATGGAAAGATATTCACACATGGAGGGAAAAGGGAGACAGGGAAGGGGCTATTAATGGAGAGGGAGAGGGAGCTGCAAGAAAGGAGAAAGGCCAGGAATTATTGAGAGGAAATTGGACTGATAAGAGGATGCCTTGGTGGGTGGCTTAGAAAAAAACCTGTCTTTATTGAATGCCCGTGGTATACATCCAGTAATGACTAAACACCCATGGTGTACATCCAGTGATCTCAGCATATGATACTTCATCTGGTTTTCCCATGATTACTGTAAGGAGGATATATTTACTTAGCTTCAAAGATGGGAAACTTGAAGACCCAAAATATGAGAAGTGTTGAAGCTTACATAGAAAGTATCAGAGATAGGATTTGGAAGTGGCATATGTGAACGGTAGGGTCATTAGTCAAGCATTTATCAGAGCCAGCCTGGTCCCTAGGGCTAACGGTAGCTCTCCAGTGAGTCTGTGAAGGAGAGGCTGAATATCTGGGAAGTTGATGGAGGTCCTCATCTCGCTTGAACACACAGCACTTCTCCCTCGTTCTCCACAGGAATACCCAGGGTCTCATGTGGTAATCCAGTCTCATTGTGGGAGCTAAGGAAAGGACTCCTTCCTACAGTGGGCTGCATTTGGCAGTAGCTGCACCTCTTCAAGAGGAGAGCGAGGCCCTCCGTGTTTAGTGTGCTGCCTCCACAAGGGCCTCCACCACTTTCTTTGGGAAATTTTCTTCATTGTTTGTTCTTGCCCAAAGAATCAAGTGAAAATTTTAGAACCAACAGAAACCCTGATTAGTCAGCATCTTATGCTCATCACAACACCAGGCTTTCATGGAATGTCCGTGGGGGTGCCTGTCCCTCTGCACAATTCAGTAGATCAGGGGAAATAGTGTTTCAAACAGCTATTTCAAAAGTGGATATGTAGGTGTTTGCAATGCTCACACAATGCTTCAAACCCCGCCCTTTGCTCCACTTAGTTCACAGAAGCCACACAACGTGACATCTTACTCGGAATGAATATCCCTTTACATTCTCCATGTACCTGTGGTGTCAGTGAACTTGACCCCACATGACCACCATGGGTTGTACTCATTTCCTGAACTCCTCTGGGTTAGAGAGGAATGATGAATCGGCTTGTTGAAGATCAGAGGCCCACAGGCACTCACCTGTGACTTGATTTTGAATGTTGCTGGGGAGAGATGGGAGGTAGAGTGCAGAATGCTTTGAGGGAAGAAGCAGCAGAACAAAATTGCACATGGTGTGCCGTCATCTCCCTCCATCTGGACTGCCAGCCTCTTGGGCTAACTCAGCTGGGAACAGTTCCCTCCAGGTGTGCTTCGTCTGGTCCTGAGAGCTGCCCTTTGAATGAAACAAGGCTGTTTCTCCCCAGCCACCTCCTCAGTAGCACTGCCTACCACTCTTGTGGAAATCCCTGCCCAGAAACCACAGTGGCCAGATGGGTCATGCCTCATGTTAGAAGCATTATTTCTGATTGGCCTGGAGTAGAACCCAGCAAAACAGGGCAGAAGCAAAGGGTAGAATATCAGAAGTCAGACCCTCTGGGACCCAAGGAAAAGATAGGGGCTGGGTCATGTCAACACACATGCTGGATGGTGCTGCCTGACTCTTGTGGGCACCTTGGTTCCTGTTGGCAGACATCTGTGTTTTCAGTAGATGGTAGGGAGGTTTCTTGCTGGGTTTCCCAACTAGAGAGCTGCTGTGACACCTCAGCATTCATGCATTTTTCATGCTACAAATCTTTATTGACTTTGGAGAGAAACAGGGAGAGCAATTAGGAGGTTATTACCATAGTCTAAGCAACAGATAATGAGTTCTGAACCAGGGGAGTGACAGTAGGGATGAATTTAGGACAGTTAAGAGGCAAAATCAGCAAGATTTAACAAGTGGTTAGCTGTTGGAAGGAAGATAGAAGGGATATAATGTACCAGCATCAGTGTCTAATAGGGCCACAGGGGTCACAACCTAAACCAGAAACCCAGGAGCCAGGGTACATTGATAGGACAGCACTGGCAGTCACCTTGTGGAAGCCCACATTCCAGCCTCCTCTCCATTCTCCTGAGACTCTGCCTCGAAGTTCTGCCTCCCATCTTGTCCCCTTTCCTTGTTTCTTCTCATCTCCAAGTCTTTGCTTTTCTCTCCCAAGCCCTTCCCTTCAGTCACCTGTGCCCTCGCCCAGTTACAAGAAGTCCTGTGTTGCTTCTGTGGGAGCTGGGGCTCTGCAGCATCCTCTGTATCAGAGTGGTTACACAGTGGCCCAGCCAGAGCGACTTCCCAAGAGGCTCACTGAGCAATCCTGGCTAAGGAAAAAGAGGGCAGTAGCTGATGCTTGCTGGTGTCAAACGGCACCTGGGAAGATGTGACAACATTTAAGATGGACCTGGAGAAACACTGGATGGCAGACATTTGCTTCTTGAGATTTAAACATGGAGACACTTCCATTCTACCTTGGAACAATACAGTAAAGCTCCCTGCACCTATCTCCTTCAGATCATGGACCAGAAACAGCTTAAGTTGATCTCATCTTCCAGACTCTACATGAAAACAGGTTTCTTAGAAGGCGTGGCCACTGCCTTCTCCATCTTGAGGAATTCAGAGGGTCCTGTCTCAGGACCTGGCTTTCCAGATGTGAAATGTCACAGCACTGTATTGAGGATGACATGCAAGAAGCAGCCCTCGGGGAAAGCTCTCAGCCAAATCAAATTTGACATTAACAACGGCCCAAGAAAAGGTTCCCTTCCTTGACCCCATGTCACTATGTATTATATGAAATAGGAAAACACTTTGTGGTGCATATGGCCTTTGTCACACAGAGGCCAGGCTGTTCCTCAGAGGATCAAGGGCTCCTGGCAGCTGGCCACTACTTCCTGAATATAATGCCAAGGGCAGCTGTTTTGTTTGTAAATCAAGAGGTCCCAGGACAGATCCTGTTGAAGGAAAGGCCATGATATATGAGCATGCTATTAAAATCAAGAAGCACCCCAAGCCAGAGCAGGGTGGAAACCCAACCCTGTGTGTACACTGGAGTGTCGGGGATTCATTCATACATGGATTGCTTCAACAAATGTTCTTGTTTGTCTAAATGCTGTGTAACTCTTGAAATAATATAGAACCATCTATAACATTAAACCACCTAATAGTTTGGTTTCCTGGGAAGACAGACATGTGAAAAGGAGTTGCAATGTTATGTTGAAGAAGTATGAGAGTCCATGGTTCTCTATGATAGCCTGTAGCTTAGCAGAGCCTGTCCAAAGAAATACCACCAGAAGCTCCGATACCCCAACTAAGTAGGTGTCCATGACTCCACCCCAGGAGCCTGGCTACCTACCTGCCAACCAATGCCCAGCTTGTCTCGGCTATAAATTCAAGTTTCTATTCTCAAGACCTTCCTTCAGACCTCAGGCATGTAGATGGAAAAATAGAAACCATTTGCTTCTGTGAAATATCAGCAAGGATGGTCAGCCAGGTTAGGCTTCAGTAACTAATGGCCTCACAATTTCACTGGCTTAAAATAACAGAGGTTTGTCATTTCTAACACATGTTCTCCTTGGATTGAACAAAATCCCAGCTAATGGAGTTTCCTTTGTCTAGAATACCATTTATCCCCAGAAAGAAGGGAAAGATTCATGGTGAATTGTGGACTACCACTTTATGCTTCTTCCCTGATATGGTATGTCACTTGCATTCTCATTTCTCTGGACATGTGGTTGAGTAAATATTATGGGTCAGAGAATTATGTCATGCATACATACATTCTTCTATCACCCTGGCCCAATGATACACCGGGAACTCGAAGAAGGCCTTCCTGTGTTCTGCCAAGAACCTCTACCTTGAAGTACTCTACCCCACTCAACTGTTACACCTACAAAGTACAAGGCTTACCGGGTCTCCAAAGGTGGAGCCATTTCTGTGTGACTAAATACTGTGCTCTCATGGCAGTGCCCGGCATGGCTTAGATATTGAATACACAATTATTGAGATGATATGGAGTGACGTCATACATTTGCTTAATTCTCACAATATGTCTTTCTGAGAATACTATAGGATGAGCCTTGATCTTAGATGAGACAGTGTCTCTCTCAAGATCCTCCCACTTTATCTTCACCCCTCTTGTGCCCTCAGTGGACTCAAAGGCTCCATGCACATGACTATTGGCCACAGTCCCACTTTGGAATGCTAGAGGCCATGCACAGAAGAATACAGACTTAAGTGGCCACCTCGCCATGCTCCATTTGACCTCCAACACTGTCCAGTGCCCATAAATCTCCCCCATTCTGCCTTGTCTCTATTTGCTGCCCAAAGCAGCGACTCCACCCTGATAGAGCCTGGAGACTTAGAATCAGAACTTGCTGATGGTTTGGAGCCCCTAGCACTGAAGCCGTAGTGCGTCAGAAGGACATCAACTCTTTGCATCTAGTGGCTCCCGTTATTGTCACCGAGGACTCTTAAAGGTGCAATGCAAGCATACTTGGATGGGCAGTTGCTGCCACACCATGCCTGCAAGTGCCATGTCTTGTTTTTCCCGTGGGCTGCTCAGGGAAGAAGAGGTGTCAGAACGTTGGGTGGAAATGAATCTTCCTCAGTTTAACTATACCGAGGACTGTATTCAATCTGTTAAGTCAGTGGAAGTCTGCCCCATCTGCTTAAATGCATCATGCTCTCCAGCAGGCAACATCTGCAGACAGGGAATGGGACTGTCATCCCCTCACAGGAGACAGGAAGACACTGGAGCTCTGCTTGGGTGATCTCAGCGTCCCTCTCTGGGAGCAGACACCTGTATGGAGAAAGGGCATCTCATGGGACCTGGGTGGCTGGTCGTGTATCAGACACACATCATCTGCATGTCACTGCTATACTTGTCTCTAGCTAGACATGTCATGGTGCAACCCTGGTCTAGTCATTTTCTCCCTGACCTTCAGTTTCCACAATTGCTAAATACACAAAAAGTTGTAGAATTTTGTTCTATGTCACTGAGGAGGCTCAGGCAGGAGCCTGGGCTGTGGAAATGGAAAACCCTGATGATGGGCCCACTCAGTAGCTGATTATAAGTCTGGACTCCCTCAGCCCAGGACCTCTTACCTACCAACCAGAATCTTAGTGGTGTTCGTCATACAGACATAACAAAGGAACAGGCGTGGTAGTTTACTAATTCTGGTCTGGTATCCATTCAGTGTCCCATGGAAAGTTCCTTGAGATAAAATAAAGTAAAAGTATAAAAAAGATGATGTTCTCTGGGTTCCAGCTCTGTCTATAGAACACCTGCATTCTGGGTTAGGTTACTCTCTCGCCACTTTGCTGACAAAACACCTTTCACGCCTCTCCTACTCTGTCACACTAGTCCTTACTCTGTATTTCATTCCAAATGTTTGGGGGAAATTTTTCACCCAATCCCTTCACTGGTCTAAATTCTTAAGTGCTGTATGAATTCTACAGGTATAGAAAAATTCTTAACTGATAGAGGGATCCTCATATGTAAGTTCCCAGCCCTGCCAAGCATCACCCTGGGTCCCCTGTGTGCCACCCTGGCTGCTCCATTAATGGCAAAACAACCCCCACAAGACAATGTACGTGACTTTTCTGGGGTTCTAAATGATCAGCCTGCATCTCCACAGCCACCTCGGGTTTCAAGAACAAATAATATGTGCCTGAGTCACTGGTTGTCTTCATGCTGCACAAATCCCAGCATCAGATCTAGTGCCCTCATCAGTAAAAGAGGCTGCTGTGATGCGATTCTGTACATGATGGGAAAATGAACCTTTCAGTATGCCACAAATCTGTCATTCCCAAACCGCCCACTGAGCTCTCTCTACTACCACCATGACTGGTGTCCTTTTTACCAATATATATTGAGAATACTGCCCAAGGAAGGCAAAATGATAATGTGAACTTCTTTTTCAGGTAAGTAGTATATGCCATGCGGAGCACTGTGACGCGAGAATAAGTAGGTAGGATAAGAGCAATAAGACATGAACAAGAGCAGGATGGTCGCCTGAGCACTAGGTGATTGTCAGAGCCCCTCCCTCCCACCCTTCCTTCCTTCTTTCCTTTTTATCATATATGTATGTGTTGTATTGTGTATATGTTGTGTTATGTGTATGTATGTTGTATGTATTTATTGGTGTAGATGTGCATACATGAGCACATAGATGTGTGTGTGTGTGTGTGTGTGTGAAGTTAAAAGTAAGCACTAGGTATCTCTCCTCTGTCACTCTCCTTCTTAATTTTGAATCAGGGTCTCTCACTGAACTGAAGCTCACTGCTTTAGCTAGGCCGGCTCTAGTCTGTGAGCTTCCAGGTTCTGTCTGTCTCTACCCACTCCCTCCTACTTCTGTGCTTACAGACACACGCCACTGTGCCTGGCTCTTTATGTGGGTTGTGGAGATCCTAACTTCATGTTAGAAAGGTAGACCCTTTGCTGATTAAGTCATCTCCCCAGTTTCTACTCAAATATCCTGGGGAGGGGGTGCTGGAAAAGAGGAAAGACAGTTGTAAATAAGGACTGAGTACCTACTATGTGTAAAGTGCAGTTACAGCCAACATCCCTAGAAAATGCCCATGCGAATCATGCATCAATTCTGCCCATACCTCTTACAGAGAATCACAAATAAAGAGCCCACATTCCCCACCTTTTTAAGGATGGCCTTTCTAGAGGCCTTTTCAGAATGAACTTCATATGCTAAACAGAGCATCTGTGCTCAAAGGAACCACATTTTTCTTATGTAGTACAATCTTCTCCTCCAAGCTAATGAATATGTGTCTGATGATCCATTCCAAAGTCAAAGGGAAGTCTGGCTAGAATGAACATTATATATAGTTTCCAATGTGGTCCCTTCCTGAGGAGTTTCCACTGTAGGAGACTTCATGACAGCTGACCTTGAACCCCAAACCCTGGGTGAGATGACAGTTGTGCTCTGCAGAAGTCAAAAGGCTACTGACCCCTCAAACATCAGATGGTGCACAGGTCCCACCATCCATCATCACGTACAGTGGGACCACCATCCATCAGCTTGTACAGTGGGAGGCAGCCGCTCTCACTTTCATACCACCAACACAACATTTCCAATGACTGCTGAGTGGCCTGCCAGGAGACAGCCTCATGCACACCCCTGGCAAAGCCTTCATTTGTCAGTTCTTCATGCCTGAACATAGTAGGAAACTCCCAACCACTCCCCATCTTACCTGAGCATCTGAGCCCTGCTTCTATGGAACAAATGGGGTCCCAAGAGTCCTCCCTGAAGAACAGGCAGGGGTCCCCTCTCCCCATCCTTCCACAGAGCTGCCCTTGGTGGGTCTTGTATTGTCATGCTGGTTTGGGATAAACCCTCCTGCTCTAACCTGGAAAAATCACAGTAATGGTAATGATAAAATTGTAGCTCACACCGAGTGAGCACTTATCATGTGTTAAGCATATAGCTGCAAGCTTGAATGCATAATCCCATTCAGGCCCCACATACACTGAGAAAGGGAATACAGTCAGAGAGATTAAGGGACATACTCCCAGTCACAAAGCTGCCAAGTCAAGCTGCCAAGTGTCAAATTCAAGTGCTCAAGTGCCTCAGACCTCAGGGCCCCTGTTCTCAAGTGCTGCAGCATTTGGCTTCAAAAAATTGTTGTAGAAAAATGTAGTATGTACAATGTGGCTTGCCACCTTCTCTCGAGATGAGAACTCAGAATTCTTCCCCAGTCATAACCCAGATCATACTATGCTGTCTCTTAGAGTCTCCATAGCAATAAGTGTCTGGTTCACCTTCATGTGGACAGACTTTAGCAAGGGTCAGGATATAGGGTTAATGCTCAATAAATGACTGACAGGTTAATTGATTGATGGGTGCATGAATGAATCCATTCATCCAAATGAAACGCTGTCTGCAGGAAATCAAGCTAACACAAGTTCCATGGTTCTCCAACATTTTAGGCTCCCTTCACACCTTTCCCTGTACAGTAGTTGATTGCACCTGCCTGGACATATGTATCACTTTCCTCTGCAAGTATGCCCAAGCAGACCAGAAGCAATTCAGAGACGAGAATGATATTGGGCTCTTTCCTGGGCCACCTAGGTCAGGAGTGGGCACAGACCTCATTAAGTACACTAATTGCAGTCTGACATGGAAACACAAGTGAAAAGATAAGGACACCTCCCACTCCGAGGAAAAACCCACTGAGCTTTCATCTCTTCCCCTTGCAGGAGCATCCTCGGGCATCATTGACCTCTTGCCATCCCCTAGCGCGGCTACCAACTGGACTGCAGGACTGCTGGTGGACAGCAGTGAGATGATCTTCAAGTTTGATGGCAGGCAGGGTGCCAAGATCCCCGATGGGATTGTGCCCAAGAACCTGACAGACCAGTTCACCATCACCATGTGGATGAAACATGGTCCCAGCCCCGGGGTGAGAGCTGAGAAGGAAACCATCCTCTGTAATTCGGATAAAACTGGTGAGTCTCTAACCTGCTGTGTCCCCATGGCTGGGACATGGAGGCTGTGCTAAAATAGAAACTCAATAGGGAGCGTGTAGTCTGCTCTCTGGTTTTCCAGCTGCCCATTTTCTAAGGTTCAGGTAAAGCAGGGCTGGGAAAGAGTGGAAAAGCTGCAAATAGAGAGAATGAGCAGTCTGAATCAATGGTCTTCAAACTGGGCTCCTCAGAATGCACATGTCTATGGAAGTACCTTAGGGATGCTGTGGGTGTGGGTGGGGTGGGGGGACTTCTTCATCCTTCCTGCAACAAAGAAACCACACATTTACTATATCATATAAGTATTGAATGAAAGCATTAAAGCAGTAGTTTGAAAAGGGACAGTGATAGCTAACAGATGCTCACATTTCTCTCATACAAGGTGACTCTGGGGACTGACCATGCCCCATCACTTTTAAATGGGTGATATTGTTATAGAATCATCTTCCTCATGAGCTATTACTGATTAAGTAACTTAAATATATGTGAAGTGCTCAGAGCAGTGTTGGGCACTTGGAATGTATGCATGGTGTAAACTATTCCTTTTCTGAACCTTTACAGGGAATTTTTATGAATGTGTCATTGAGTTTCCCATCTTAAGGAGGTTATGCATCTTGTGCCAAGTAGTTACGCAGCCAATAAACACCAGAACTGGAGTGTCAGTTTAGGCTCTTCTAAGTCCACATCTTAAGCATGTGTCACTGTGCCTCCATGTGCACACGTGCAACACACACACACACACACACACACACACACACGCGCGCGCGCGCGCGCGTGTGTCTTGAGAGCTTTTGCCAGATTTACAACTCTGCCTTCATTATGTCTTCTATTTCAAATGTAACTTTTATTAAAATGCTCAAGTATTTCATGTATTTATTTACATAAATACTCCATGTTTATAGCTGTAAGGCAGTACAGAGGATAACTGGCAGCCTAGTACGTGTTGCCCAGGTCCACAGCTCAACCAGATGGCTGTGTAAGTATAACCTCTGAGGACTTATTAAGCTCAGTGTCCCCACATGCCAAGTGCAGGAAATAAGTATGAAATAAAATATGAAATCCTTTAAATCAGATACAGAAGCAGTGGACCATTAGTTTATGTGGTATCGCTGGTACCATCATCACTGTTTCTGGGATTATTCCATTTCATGCCACCACAAGGACCTCCACATTTTCCATCCCAGGTGATCCCTATGGTCTGTGCTATTGTGTTTCCTTTTAGACAGGCACGTAAGTCAATTCTATGTAGGAAATGTCAGCACCAGCAGTGGACTTTCTCTGGGACCTTCATGCAGGAAGGATTTCTTGGACCCACATGAGGTGACAATGATCTTAGTGCTGGGCTTAGTGGCCTGGTCCTAGCAACACCTGGTGGCTGCTCTGTACATAATGGCTCTGGGGCCAAAGTCACATTGAGGCCACATCTTAGCATGGTACAGATGTGAGGCAGCTAATCAAGATTTAGCAGCCACGGATATGATTCTTTCTTGGATGTGTGTTGAGCACGCAAGGAAACACAGAAACCAGACAGTGTTTCTGCCTACATAAGGGCCAGCGAAACAGGGGAATTAGCGCAATGGGCCATGACAACATCACTTGCTGTCTAGAGCATTCCTTGTGTATCTAGGACCTCTTATTGTACATCCTAGAGCCAGACTCTTAGAAAAGAGGCGCCGGAGGCTCTTGTTAGAATAAAACCAGCAGAGCATCATGAAGTGTGGGTGCCAGGGCCCCACCCTAGGTCCACCAGTCAGTGCCTCAGGGGGACTCTACTGGCAGCTGTGGCTGCAGTCTGTAATAATGCCTCCTCAGTACAGTGGCTCACCGGCAAGGGGCTCAGCACCTCAGACCTGCAAGGCCTGTGCCTCAACTCTGCTCTTGCAGAAAGTCACACCTTACAGTTAGCGCAGAGGGCTGGAGCAACAGTGTTGTGGGTAAAGACACTTGCCTCCAAGTCTGACAGCCTGGAGTGTGATGCCTACAACACACATCTTGGAAGGAGAGAACCAATTCCTTCAAATGGTCTCCTGACCTCCATAAGTACAAGGTTGTTCTTTTGTATACATACACATATGCAGACATTCACTCACACACACACACACACACACACACACACACACACACTAAATACATATCTAAAAGAAAGGTTGTTGCAGAGAAGGTGGGAAGGTTTCAGTCTAACTTAGCTCCCTGGGAGGAAAGTACTATAAATACAAAATATTGGGATTTAATCAGGGTCTGATTAGGACTTTTACTTTATATCATAAGTGGAAAGGTGATATGTATTGCAGCAGAGATGGAGAAAGCACAGGAAAGAATCAAAATATACAAGGCACCTAAAAATCCAAACTCTTGGAGCAATGTTATCTGATAACATTCTATTTCCTTAAAATGTTACTTTTATCTCTATGAATAAGTAGAATGTTCTTCCCATTTCAATTTATTTTCATAATACACATGGGATTATTGTTTCATGTATTACTATACCCAGGTTGTATCTCCATATAATAAAGTATTCTTGTTGGAAGCATGTATGTGACAAAAATATCGTGTTGCCCACAGTGGCCTTGAACTTCTGAGCCTCCTGTCTCTACATCCCAAGTGCTAGGATTGCAGGCATGCACCACTATGCCTACCAGATAAAATAGTCTTTAAAAACTAAATTGCATGCCAGTTTAAAACTCTGCCGTGTGGATTTATCATACTTTATTTAATGGGTTTTGTCAGCCTCTTAGAGTGTCTCTTTAAAGGCAAATAAAACAGTGCTGTAGTGAGCATTCTAGAACATAACTTTCACACATTTCTGATTGTTTCCTGGCTGGAGATTGGATTGCTAAGTCAAAGAATATAAACATTGAGAAAATTATGAAATTGGCCTTCATGAACATCATATTGCTTTCTGTTTGGTGAACTAAACAAAATGTACTAATGCTTGTCCTTTATAAAGTCATCTATTAATAGTTGGATAGCAGGACTGATTAGTCAGAAAGGCTAACTGTGTGGAAGAAAGAGAGAGGGAAAGGAAGGCCACCATTACCATTACCACCAATAAAGCTCTCAGTGGCCACCACTCTCCTCTCATGGTTTCCCTCATTCATTTGTCTAGTGGTGGGTATGGAGGACAAATCTCTGCTTGGTTCAGGTATTCTGAGACAAGAATCCTTGCATTGTTTTGTCTGACTATACTTAGCATCAAAGAGAAAGAACAGTGTTGAGTATAAGAAGGTTTTATTGACAAAGACAGCAGGCTGTATGTTTTACCTTTAATCATTACCTTCCACTTTCCAGAACTTGGTCACAGTGTCCAGCTGTGAAATGTAATTAACCATATAGCTGATTGCAAAGGAAGCAGAGTTAGGTGCACACATAGCAGTGTCTCTGCCACAAGGGATGCTTGGGCCTTTGCTGGCCTTTCTCTCCCCCATTCTCTGTGTGTGAGTGATGCTATTGCCTGCTAACACCCTGCCCCAGCTCTGCCCTGTCTCCATAGGGTCTTTATGCCCACACATCTGCCCCTGCAGCTGGAATCCCTTCCTGCTGGGGTGATGTCACCCTGCTCACTTTGAGTTCAGCTGGAAACAGTGAATAAGTGGTTATCCACAGTTCTTGACATTTGATGCTTGGAATTCTAAGACACAGGGGCCAACCTGACCTAGCACTGGCAGAGTGTTAGCACAGTAGGGAAAAATACAGTGACCCTCCAGCCTATAGGAAAACAAGGGTGTGCCCACAGCACTGGAGTGACTAGACAACTTCTCAGAAGGATTGCAACTGTAAGAAGAGGTGGGAACTGCCCCATCCCCTGCTGCCTGTTGGCTGGCCGACCGGGAGATGTTCCCTAGCCCGTGTGATGATCCAGGAGTCTGTAGCAGTGAGGCAGAGGGAAGGAGAAAGATACTGAAAAATGCTCTAGCAGAGGAGATCTGTTCATCCTGTCTTCCTGGTCCACCTCTTCACCCCAGTTGATTCCAAATAACAACAGCTAACAAAAGCAAAAAACCTTGCTTCCCTCCTTTTCCTAACAGTTATTAACAGGAACACAGAAAATCATTTACACATTCATGAAAAGGGAAAGAACCCATAACCAAGCCGGAGGGATTTTGCCAACCCAGAGGCTAAGTGGTTCTGTCCCCCCAACACTGGACACATAGCCACTGCCCATCCTCCCTCCTGCCATATTTGGCTTGGATTCTAGAGAATGCTGATGCTTGGTAGAAACAGCATCTGACATGGCTGTCTGTACTGCTGTAGTCTCGAGGCGCAGCAATGGCCTTTGTAATAACCAGCAGCCACCAAGCATCTGTTCCAGGCAGATGGTTTATACACATTTCCTCATTGTGGCAATTAAGATGCTATCCATTGCAGAGATGGGAAGTCCAGATCAAATGATATCAGATAACTTTAAAATCAAACCAATGCAGAAAATGTAGAGCTCCTGTGCCTGAAAACTCCCAGATCTTTGGTGGCTTCATAGCATCCTGTAAGTAAATTGTGATCAAGGTCCAAGTTCTTCTTCTCTGCATTTTCTCAGATCTATGTCTACACATGTGCCAGTTTCAGATTAACAGATAAGGCTGCAGCTGCCACAGACCTCTGGTTTTATACTTCACTTCTCCCAAGGAAAGAAGGCATCGCTCAGGTTCACATTCTGGTGGCAACTGTCCCAGAGCTGCATAGGAAAGTACTAACCATTGGCCTGGACCAAGCCCTCCCTGTCAGTTCTCAGCTGAGGCCATGTGGCCAGGAGAATAGCCCTCTCTGTTGACCTTAGACAGGCATCTTGAGCCAGGTCCTGTGTTGGGGAATTGGCAGGAGCCTGTTTAGATAGAGCCAATTAAAGCTCATCTCTAGAAATGAGGCCAATGTTGACTTCATAGCAAGGTTTATACAGGATATACAGGAAGCTACTCCACTATGTCTACCCTAATTCAGATAAGGAAACCAAGGCACCAAGAAGCTAGATGACTCCTGTTATCAAAGAACAGTTCCACCAAAGTCTTTTTTAAAAGATTTTTATTTTATGTGCATTGGTGTTTTGTCCACATTCACGTCAGTGTGACAGTGTTGGACAGTTGTGAGCTGCCATGTAGGTGCTGGGAATTGAACATGAGTCCTCTAGAAGAGCAGCCAGTGCTCTTAACTGCTGAGCTATCTCTCCAGTCCTCCACTGAAGTCTAAATATAAAGCTATGTTCTTCTCCATTCATGACCCATGTACTCATTTGTCCACTTGGAGTGCATGTGCATCCTAGTCTATTTCCATGTGTTCTACAGCCAAGTAAAGTGTGATCTCTCCATGTTGGTACAGAAAAGCTCCTCTCCTGCCAGTTGGTAGTGTCTTATGGCTCTTCGTGTCATGGCTAAAACCATGAGATAAGATTTCCTAAGCAGGAAGGAAGTCTTTACATCAGAGGAGGAAAAGTTCCATTGATTGATCATTGTGCCTGGGGAGGGGGGGATTATTTATCGCTTTGAAGAGCCACAGAGTTATGTCTAATGCTGGAAAATCAATTTGTCTCCTCCTAGCAGCTAAAAGCAAGGCAGGCACTCTTAGCATAGACTAGGGAGACAAAAGAGATGTGTTGTGTGGTCACTGTGTCAAGACTGACAAAATAAAACAAATCCCAGAACTCCAGGAGAAATCACCCATGCTGGAGGAGCCCAGGGAAGCCGATGCGATTGGCAGAGGGCCCCTGTAAGTACACACCACAAGCTTGCCAACACGATCACCGTTCTCTGAGATCTGATGGAGGAGAAGTTGGGCCAGTGTCTTAAGGCAAGACAGCTTCTCAGAAGGTTTTCTTTGGGTTCACCCAGTGTTTCTTCCATTTGAAAGTCTTCCCCTAAATATGTTCTGGAAAATTCGTCAGAACTAGTTATAGATGACAAAATAAGAGAGACCATTCCTTTGTCTCCTAAGCTGTGCCTAACGACATAACGGAGGACTCTTTGGGTGAAAATGGACAGAGATTCTCTTCTGCCCTGACCCCATCTCTGCCTTTCAGAAATGAACCGGCATCACTATGCCCTCTATGTGCACAACTGCCGCCTCGTCTTCCTCCTGCGGAAGGACTTCGACCAGGCAGACACCTTCCGCCCTGCAGAGTTTCACTGGAAGCTGGACCAGGTGAGGTTCTCGGGGCATGTCTTCTCCTCTCTCCTCTGCAGGGACCATCTGCTTGCTCTCAGGGTGGTGGTAGTGGGTACGCTCTCTCCAGGTCTCCTTGATTTCTTGGTTTTGGATAAGCCAGTTCAGGAAGGCACACAGAATCTTAAGTCAGGGTGGAAACTGCCTCCTGAAAGCCAGTAGGAGGGGAAAGAGCCACATGTGCCAGCTGAGATGCCACAGGGTCAGAGGACCTGTGTTCCTGTTCGCCTGTTCCACTTACTCTCTGTTGTGCTCCTGGGAAGGTGTTTGTCCTGACCCCAGGCCCAGCTGATGATCTGTTGGTAGGTCTTTGGTCTTTGTGTCAGTTAGCCTCATGTCTCACCTTTGATGCTTTCCTTCCTCCTTTGGGGGACAGAATGACTTGCTTTTGGTGACAGGTGATTGATAGCAGGGATCTGAGGACTTTGAAGAAAGCAATGACATAGGGTATTGTTAGCAGTATCTGCTTTTTTCTGAAGTAGAAAATCTGACTCATCAGAGCGTTAAGACTTGATCTCGGGGCCTGCTACATCACACTTCCCCACAACAAGTCATGTGACTGGGCTGAGTCCAGAGCTTTGAAGAGTGTGTTCCTGAGGGCTGGACCGTACAGTGCTGAGACTACCAGAGAGTACTCATTTCACACTGAGGAAGCAAAACTGATGTGGCCTTCACCCAGAGGTGAAAGTGGGCAGGGTTTTATTTTTATTTTTTTATTTATTTATTTTGGTTTTTACGAGACAGGGTTTCTCTGTATTGTTTTGGAGGCTATCGGTCTAGCCTGGCCTCGAACTCACAGAGATCCGCCTGCCTCTGCCTCCCGAGTGCTGGAATTAAAGGCGTGTGCCACCACCGCCCGGCAGGTTTTATTTTTGAAAAACAGTATTAAATCCGCAAAAGGAGAATGCTAAGAGACAGGGGTGAGGTTTCAGGTAATGATGCCCATTTTATAGATCCCAATGTCTCAGGCCTCAACCTCTTATTTTGTTTTTATTCTACTCCAACTCCATCCCAAGCTGTGTGTGCTATGACCTACAGAACTCTTTTCTCCTGTCTCTACCCACTATGTGTATTGCTACCTCACCCCTTCTGGGGCTGAGTGTTTCATAATCCCCTGTTTTCTGTCTCCTTATTTCTCTGCCTCTTCCCATCTTCTCCTAACCCCCTCCTCTGGCTCCTGGTGGGACTGACCTCAGCGAGAACTTACCCATACTGAGATGTGGGTGATTGCTGCCCCTTCCATCCTTACAGATGCTCACATGTATGCTCTGTGGGGTCCAGATTTCTCAGCCCCAGGAATTTCCTCTAATGGAACCTCTTCAGTATGAGAAAAGCAAGGACAGTGTAGGGAGCCAGTGGCAACTGTCTGGCCTGGTCTCAGAAAATGCTACCCTGCTAGATCCTGGTAGATTGAAAAGACAGTATTTGTGTTCATCTGCATTTCTCTCTTTGTGTTAGGAATTCTGGGGCTTGGAGGAATAGTAAAATCTTGACATTGTTTATATGATTTCTCAGCAACCTCCCAGCTATGCCCTGACGTGCCAGATGGCTTTTATGGGATGTTTTAAAATATATAATACAAATTGAAGTGAATTAAAATAAATTCCATATTGTGAGGGGTTCTTTAATAAGAACATTGCCATACTGGTGGAGATAATTATAGATACCCTGAGGCATTTTCTGAGATGGGATTGAGAAACAAGGATACAGGCAAATGAAGTTGCAGGGTTGGAAATTAAAAATAGACAAAGAAGGAATCCTGGTTGTATAGATAAATATATAGCAATTCTGAAAGCCAGGCATTTAAGGAGGGGCTGAGTCACTGAGCACTTTCCAAATTACCTGGGTCCCACGGATGTTCCTTTTTTTTTTTTTGCCTGCTCTGTCCTAGGCAGGCTGTTTATGTGAAGCCATACCCAGTTCTGCTCCAGGCTTTCCATGGGGACTTCCAGGCAGGGGTCTCCAGTCTAGTGACTTACCCAGGGCTCAGGGAAAGCCATGGTCAACACCTGTCCTTCCTTTCAGGTTGTTCTGTGGTGAGCATGCTAATTTAAAATGTAAAATAGATTACTTCATAGATAAGAATTATGCCTACTATGCAAAATATTTGAAGCCATCACAGAACCCTACAAACTTGGCTTAAGTTCTGTCTTCATCTAAGTCTGCTCAGGCCGCCTTAACCAAGTACCTTGGGCTGTATGGCTTAAGGGAGAGATGTTTACCTTCTCTTGGTCAAGAAGGTTGGGAAATGCAAGGTCAAGGTACTTATTGATACATGTCCTAAAGAGCTGTTTTCCTGGACGCGGAGGACCTCCTTTCCCCACTCTGTCCCTGGTTCCAGAGAGAGAAAGATGGCACTCTGTATATGCTCCTCTCAAAAGGAACCAGCCTGCTACATGCAGTCCCTACTCCCACTCCCTCATTTTGCAGTATGAGTGCTAATAGATCTTAATAATAAAAACCCAGAGAGAAGTAAAGGAGTCAGCCACAAGAGAGACCTCTTATCTTACTGAATCCTCAGATCAAAAGGGTGATCCTGTTCCCACAAATCCTCAGACTGAATGCCATGAGCTACTGTCTCCTCCAGCCTTATATTCCTCTCTCTGCCCAGCCATATCACTTCTGTCTCTGCCTCCATAGTACTGAGATTAAAGGTGTGTGATTCCGAAGTACTGGGATTAAAGGTGTGTGTCACCGCTGCCTGGTTCTGTTTCTTGTTTAAATTGGATCAATCTCATATAGCCCAGGGTGGCCTTGAACTCAGAAATCCTCCTTCCTCTGCCTCCTGTGTGCCACCACTGCCTGGCACCTTTGTTTAACTAGTGTGGCTAGCTCTGCACTCGGAACTTCAGTCAAGCTTTATTTGTTAAAGCACAAACAAAATATCACCACATATTTCATATTGGTTGCCTGCCTCAGGCCATATCTCCAAATATACCAGGGTTTAATATTTCAGACTGAGAGTTTGGGAAGGACAAAATTCGATGTAGCATTTCTCTGTTAAAGAAATGAATCTTCTGAAAGTTGAAGGAGTCCTTGCTATCAGATGCCCCAGCTCATGAGGAAGGTTGCCGGGTGAAGGGAGAGAGGCTGTAGTGAGGGCACAGGAACCCTTAACAGTATCCATGCTGTATACACCAAGGGGTGTATACAGGCTATCCTGTAGAAACACCTTTCTCCCTGCTCAGCTCCCTTGCATGTAAACTACTTGATGCCAAGAACATACAGACTGATGAAGCTTCTCTACCAGGAATCAGTCTGGCATATCTGGAGGACCATCTGTCCCCTCACGCGTCAGGCTCCTTGTGACTCTTTTAGCATTGCCATCACAACAGTTAACCCTCCTGCCTGCTCCCTTAGTGCCCAGCTCCTGGGGGTAGGGTAGTGTCTTGCTAATCCTCAGTTTTACAGTGTACAGTGTAGCTCTGAGCACTTCATTGGTGCACAGTAAATGTCTATATAATAGTAAAAGGATGTGGAGGAAGAGGGAGGAGGGGAAGAAAGAGAAGAATGGAGAGAAGAAAAACCCAGATCTTTTTAAAAAGCTTCTGATGGTGAATCAAACATTTGATTTATTTCACTGAGCTATTTTATATTCCTCTCTGATTCTTAAACCGTGTCCATCTTGAATCTTCTTAGCTTATTTTAAAGATCCAACTGGATTAATCACCAGTGAGTCTATAGCTGGACTTTGCCAAGAATTCAAACTGGTCTAATATGTTGTGTACAACTAAACTCCTGGCCTACCTTGGAAATTCTCAAAGTCCTGTATGGTTCTAATGCCTGTTGGGGCTTTTTCATTTCTGTTCTAAGTAGCTTCTTCTGTAAATTAGCCTCTGTGCTTCATTCCAAAGGTCAGTACAGAGCTAGAAGTTTCCATAATCGTGGGTCAAACAGACAGTATCATTCAGTCAATACTTGATCAGAAAGCAGGACAGCTGGTAGGGACAGGAGCAGGGCTGTCTGATGTGGACCTGTGAGTAAGGGCCTAAGGAAGCACCCAGAAGGAATGTTGGAATGGAAAAGTCCACGTGCAGAGACAGGCATCAAAGAATACAGACAGTGTACCAGTGAATTGGACCCAAGTGTTAGAATTCAGGAATGGCAGAGCAAGCAGGAATTAAGTTCAAGTAGATTTTTGTGTCATGTCACTCCCAGGAGAACAGATAATAATCAAAGTATCCATTACTCAAAACAAGTCCATGGGTGTTATGGATGGGCAAACTTGGAAAGTCTGATATGACATACACTGCATTACATTCAAGCAAATGTAACTCTGGCTAGAACAATGCATGGGACCAATTGCAGGAACTAATATCCCCTGCCCCAGCCTCCACAGCCATGCCAGGACCCAACTCCAAATAGGTGTGTTTGAACAACTGGCTCCTAACTGGCATTGAAGCTAGGGTAAATTGTACAGGATGTTTCCCACATAGCTCTCCAGGGAAGGCATAAGTGAAGCAGTTACTCATACCCCAGAGATATCACATGCTTCCAGTCCTTTTCCCTATACCCATGTCTGTAAATCTAACCAGGTAGCCCCAGGAAATGCATGAGAATCCAGGGCATCTCACTAAAGTGATACTAATAGCAAGGGGAATGTCATTTTAATAGGATTTTTACTCAAGATCTACTAATGCAAATCCCTCAAGCCGGGCAGTCAGTCATGTGCAAACTCAGACAAGAACTCCCAGCATACCCAGGGACAGTTTATCAATCCACAGGCCCTCTTGACTTTAATATTATCTGGATATGTTTGATTCTGTGTTATGAATTATGATCATCTTCCCGTTGGTTGGTATTAGAATGGTGTTCTCTGGTACTCCTCATTGGAGTGACATTGAGTGACAGTCTCAGTGAAACAGAAAAGAGTGTTTTCCTCAATTCATATGAGGAAAACAATGTATCTGTGAAGAACACAGAGCCCATGAGAGGCAGAAATTGGTCTCATTTGGTTAGCTACTGTCTTGCCTGTGCAC